GACGAGAAATTTTTTTAAATATGGGGTAAAAACCATCTGTAAATAAATCTTCAAATTCATCATCTTCTACTAATCTAAAAGAAAGATTCATAAGAATGATAAACTCGATGACGCATTTCCTGGCACGAGCTACGTCATAACTCTAACTTTCCAAGACTACCAGAAGCTGAGGATTGCGAGATCATAGATTATCGGATATCACCTTGATTAGGTACCAATGGCTTTATACTAAGAAGTTGTTGCCTAGACGACTAGGTCTTCGATGTCTTTCTTTTTATTTGACATTTTCATTGATTGTTTGAAATTTATGCATAATAAAGTACAGCCCACTCATACTCATAGCTCGGGTGATGTCGAACTCTTGTTTCTTTGCTCAGATGCATTTTGGAGACGGCTTTCTGTTGGGGACAGGGTCACTAAGACGGAGCTTTCTAGGTTGTCTCGTGTCGTCTTTGGATAGACTTGTTTTGATGAGAGCGAGTTGTTGCTTCTTTAGCTGTATTTGTTGCCAAACTGAGGAACGTCCGGAATCGGGGGTTCTTCTTCCTCTGGAGGGTAAGCTTGTTTGGCCTTAGACGCTGTTGAGCTGTCGACATATTCGCCATCTCATCAGCCAATGACCTTCTTGAACTTCAAATTTTTGCCGAGGTCCTTGCTTGGTCAACGGTGGACACGGGAATTTTCAACAGATCTTTCTTGTCCATCGTTGGTTGCGTTGTATGGCCAGAGTCCGGCTGATTGAGCTTTTGGAGGATGATGCTCAATAGGGATAGGCCTAGGCAACTTCTGTGATGGGGGGCTTCTTGTTGATGAAACCTCGTATGTCGATGCTTTGTTTCCTGGAATTTGATGGGATTATCGTTTCCCCTTGAGGATTCCAGGAGTAGCAATGACCGGACCATCCTGTGGATGGAGGAGCCTTCTTTTTATAAGGAGAATGTGAGTCGCGTGCTTCGACCACCAGTTCTTTCTTTGACTCTGGTAGTTTGGATAGCGGTTGGGGGCCGAGGACGGACTTCCTGAAGAGGCAGTCGCTAGGTGGCTCCTCGTGTTTTTTCCCGCAATCTCATTTTTGGTGAGGAAGGACTCTCCTTTGAAGGTGGTGATGATCCGAGTAGCCGGCTATAGACTTAATCGTTGCTCCTTACTCGTGCGAGCTGTTGCTGATGGGAGCTTGAACGATACTGGATCTGATCATAACCCTTGGGGTTCTATTTGCGATCCAACCCCAGGCCTCTTGGTTGTCCAGGCGGTGGGGTTTTGTCTGTGACGGTCATAGGGAGCTTGCGCTTCATTTTCAAGCCAGACAAACACCATAGTAGTGTGTCTTTTCCAGGAGGGCTTTTTGGGTTCTACTTGGCAAATACTCCCCAGAAAGCTGTTAGAGCCCTTGAGGGCTACGCCTATGTTGGCTCTTCATAGCCATAGGCATATCCTCCTTAGCTTGAATGATGCGATTTCAGACTTTGTTTAGCTTGAATGATGCGACCACCAGAAGTTGAGGATTGTGAGATCACAGATTGTCAGATATCACCTTGAGGCGTCTGACCTCTATTGTGTTTATCTAAATAGCGTTTGAGGTGGTTGGTGGTGCTCTTATGATGAGATTGGAAAATCTTACCGTACAACGCACATTTAGCTTTCTGCGTGAGGATCCTACCGTGTTCATCCTTGATGACGTCTATCTTCTCGTAAAAATTTCACACATCGGATCTCAGCCTTTTAGGAGCTCTTGGTGTAGAATCGTCATCACCGGATCCGGGATTAACATCGGTATGATCGGTAGGAGTAGACCCGGTAGGAGGACTCATTTCAAAATCGGGAGATAGGTTTTTCCCTTCTGTTGATGTCCGTGAACACACAGTCGATGGGGTTGCGGTTCTAGTCTTCGTACTGGCGGCGGATAGGGAGAGGATGAGAGATGGGGCCAACTCCTCCTCCGACTTTATGCCTAATCCTTAGACTGGAATTCCCGATCCTTCTGCACATGCAAAGAGAAACCTATAGGAGAGCGGAGCTCATTTCCCCTATGGTACCTCCGACGGTCAAGTCAGTTGGGGGACTTGAGTGGAGTTTGAGGGAGAATCCTTGGGCCATTGAGGTCCTTAGAGGATACTCTTTGGGAGTTATTAGTTCTCTTTTTTAAAGATAAAAATCAGAGCTTTAATGAAGTAGTAGTAGTAGCAAAAAAGATCCCTCTCTTTCGTTACCTTCTTTTCCTCCTTTTTATAGCTCATTGGCTCTGAGAGTTTGATCATTGGCTTTGACTATGCACAGGAGGCGGTTGAGGGGTGAACGGATAGGTTGCTGAGTCATCCTTCCCCTTCCAGATAGCGACTGACGATTGGAAGGGTAGTCACTCGGGTACAGGAGAGAAAGGTCTTCTCAGTATCCTGGATTTGACAAATGAGGCAGGGCAGAGGATAAGCCAGTCACTTGGTCGTCATACTCCCTCCTGATAGCGGTTGGTGATTGGAGGGTAAACTATTAGAGCCCAGAAGAGCATCATGGCGATCTCTGGGAAATGACTTGTGAGGAGAATAAACGGCTTATGCATGGGATTTGTCAGAGCGAAGATCTCGATGGGACTGATCAATGCTGTAGTGCTGATTGACATCTGAAGCGAGCTTAGTCGTATCATATCCCCTTAATCGATGCGGGTTGATTTTGTGAGTCATTATTATGATTTGCCGACTTGATAGTCAAGTGAGCTTTGGGCCGAGTGTATGGTCGAGACGTCTGCTCGAGGAGTCGTCTTAATTACGAGGGATCGACTAGTCCCGCACTTCGAATAGGTAATGATGACCCTTGGTCGAAAGGTGACTCGTCTACTTGGCTAGCCGATAGACTTGCCCTTGACTGGGCTTTTGGGCTTCTAAGCTGGTTTGGACCATGCCCTTTTTAAGCCTATGCAGTCAATCTCCCAACATCTTTATCTGTAGATGGTAAATTACCATAACAGTTGGCCCCTTTCATTTGGAGCTGACTTTAGTCGGGTCCGAATGAAATGGATATGAGTTTGCTCAAGGTGTTGGGATTTTTTAGCCAGTTGATCGTGGAAGGAGACGTGGCGTAGAACTTGCTAACCGGCAATTTTCTATGGGTTGATGCTGTCGATATCGGGAACCGCTTTTTTAAAGGAAACGAGGCGTCGTGGGTGGCGTCTTTACTTGCCAATTGATTGGCGTTAGTTACGAGTGGCGGCTGGCATTTTCGAGCGATTCGTTTCCGTGTTTCAAAAATTGATTGGCGTTAGTTACGAGTGGCGGCTGGCATTTTCGAGCGATTCGTTTCCGTGTTTCAAAACAGATCTTCCTTAGTTGCTCCATGATTGAGCCTCTTGGATCCTTCTGCATGCTTCTCTGGAGGCTTATAAATAATTCCTGACGCTGTTTTGGAAGAACACTCTACATCAGGAACATTTCTTCTTGTCGATTCTTCCTTTGACTCCTTAAGAGATTTTTACTATGGTCTTTCCTCAAAATGACCGTGGGAAGAACCTTATGGTCTTGTTCCTGTCTAGGTCAAGGATGACTTTGGACGAGGCAACTTGGTTGCATGATAAGTACGATATCTCCCGGCAATGACCATAGGGGCACCGGACAGTCTTACTCTGGTGCATATGCACGGCGAGGATCGGGTGCCTCTCTATCTGACGCATCTGCAGTGTGGATTGTGCATGTCGCTGCATCCCTTCGTAAGGGAAGTTTTTACGGCTTTGGGGGTTTCCCCCTGCCAATTTAATCCACACGCCATTTATATCTTGATGGTGTTCATAGACGCCTGCTCCGAGGCGGAAGTGGTGCTCAGCGTTAGTTTGCTTGGGCATGTGGTTAGTGTGGGGTCTGTTAAGGGAGACCCGCACTATCTTTTCCACTGTCGGGACGATTTTCGTTTGGACGCCGATTTTTCGGAGCTGAACGAAGAATGGAAGAAGTCCTTTGTCTGGGTGTTTAGCGCCGACGATATACTGTCCTGCTCAGGTTGGCCTGAAGTGCAGGAGAACGTGTTGGAGCCGAGGGCCCTTAGTAATCTCGAGGTAAAACCAAAGCACCCAGAAATGCAAGAGAACGTGTTGGAGCCGAGGTTCCATTGAGAAGTCGTTGTATTATCTTCTCTCTCTCTCTCTCTCTCCTCTCTCTCTCTCTAATATATATATATATATTATATATATATATATATATATATATATATATATATATATATATATATATATGAAAACGGGAGGTGAGCTGGCAGCGTAGGAAATTTCCTACGCTGCATGAGTGTATGACATGTGAGCCCCCTACTAGTCACAACGGTGTGGGCTCACATGCTCCATACACTTGCGCAGCGTAGGAAATTTCCTACGCTGCCAGCTCACCTCCTGTTTTCTCATATATATATATATATATATAATATATATATATATAATATATATATATATATATATATATATATATATATATGTTCCCAAAATCTTGTCCTAGCAGCTGCCCAGGGCAAGTCTCAGTGGCTCCGCCACTGGATTGTGGAATGTTGGCTAAGTTAATGGGGATGAGAAGGAGTTTGGAGAGGAATTTTAAGGAGATGGATGAGTTTTATCATAGGGCGATCGATGAGCATAAGGAGAATATGGCGACGATAGGAGAGTAGAGTGAAGATGGTGTTTGGTGTTAAGCTTGATTTGCAGAAGAGAGGAATGGGTTTGAGTGACAAGCAGATTAAGGGAATCCTAATGGTATCGTTCTTCACCTTTTATTATAACCAAATCCCTTCATTATATTATCAGTTGTAATCCATTATAATCGATAGTTATCCCAAAACATGATACCACTTCGGTAGATATATCTCAAATGGAATGTTGTTGATTCAACTAGTCCACAAGAGGGTTATTCTGACGGATCATAGAAACAAGGGATGGCAACAAAAGAACAATCCGATATATTGTTAACAGTTTTCCACAACACGCCAAAAAGAAATAAAAAAGAAGAAAGAAAAATAAAAAAAAGGGGAAGAAGTTTTCCAAAACATGGACTATTTTTCGAACTATATATAATATAGTGAGTGCCTATTTAATCAAAATCACACAGCAGTACAGTGTTAACACTTCGGCTAAGTCTTTGGGCCTTGTAGGATGCCCTCTACCAAAATCACGACAGTAGTACAGTGCAGGATGTCGGATTTGTCCCGGAATAGAATTTGGGATGGTAGTGGTTGAGTTGTTGAGCTTGTGCTTGCTAATCCGTGTCCTGGCCAAAAAAAAAAGTTCATTAAGATGGAGGCGAAGTAGCTGGGTACTACAGTCGTGTAATTTTCGTCGTGATTTCATGTTAATAATGCCAAACACCTAGTCTGATGTATGATTTTAATTTGTTAAAATATATGATGTCATGATGCATGAATATAAACTTTCCTATTACTTTGCTTTGCGCTAAACAGATTTATGTGTTTTATGTGTTCGGTATAGCGATTGTTTTTATGCATAAATTTTGCGCAGTGACTCCTTGTAGTATCACTCTTCCCACTTTGGAGTTTATTGCCCTTGTGGTTTGATTTTGGCAACTAGACCCCCAGGTAAACATTTTTGTCATGTTTTTGCCCTTAGATAAACCCTCTAATTCCACCCCCATTGTAATATCTTCAAAATTTCACCCATGTAAAAGAGTCAAAAAATTTCACCAATGTTCAGTTTGTGTGCAGCTATGTCGAAAGGAGGTAGGTCAAACTAGAGGATAGTATGTGTAGTGCTGGGATTCTCCCAAAATCTCAAAATGAGATAGATGAATGAATGTTGACCAAGAAAGTATGAAGGGTGCATGCATTTAAAGCTAGAAAGGTGCATGCATTGGAAGCTTGAAGGTTGCGCTGGGAACTTGCCAAGAGTATTAATTGGTCATTTGCAATAGTAAAGAAGAAATGCTATCAAAAAGGACATGCTAGTGTTGAGAAAGTCATCCTCCTATATATATATATATATATAGAGAGAGAGAGAGAGAGGATCCTCCTAGAAATCTTGAGTGAATGGTGTTCTCAGGCTTCTTGAGATATATGAGATGTGTGAGAGTTTTCAAGTTTGCTAGTGCAAAAACTTGTATCTATTAAATTGGTTGTATTGGTTTGTGATGATAGTGAATAAGAGTCCGTGAATGTAGGCATGTCTGATTGAACCACATCAAAAACTCCGTATTGTATTGTTGCTTGCGCCCCTTATTATGTGCGGTATTTGTGTACTCTAATATTCCTCAACATTGGCATTAGACCCGAGGTTATGTCGGAGTTTGTTAAAACCGCGGAGCACACTAAAGGGTCGTCTACAATGTCGTTGCCTAAAATTGAAGACCGAAATATCGTTGGATGAAGTGGTTGCAATCCTCGGAATGTTGGGATCTCAAGGGTGCTAGCTTGTGTTCGTGGTGATCTTGATGGAGATGACAGACTGTGATCAAGGCGTGTACTGGTGTGCGCAATAGAGCATACAAGGCGTGCGACTGTGGGCGGATCAGCGAGTGGTATTGTGACGAGAGCATGTGTAGCAACTTGATAGCACTGTGATTGTGGCAGGTCAACGAGTGGTATTGTGATGAGAGCATGTGCTGCGACTGAACAGTGGTTTGATGATGTCAAGGGGTCACGACGATGGCAGTAAGCCCCAAAAACCAGCAATGATGATTGGTAACGGAGAACAATCGTGAGACGGCTCACCGACATCAATGGAGCAGTGACGACCGATAGAAATGTGATAATGGGCAGTGGTGCATGGCCAGTGTTAGTGGCAGTCGATCAAATTGAGGTGTTAGAGATTTGGTTCGAGGGAGGATATGTCAGGATTCTCCCCAAATCTCAAAATGAGGTAGATAAATGCAAAAGTTTGAAGGGTGCATGCATTGGAAGCTAGAAGGTGCATGCATTGGAAGCTTGACGGTTGCTCTTGAAAATTGCCAAGAGTACTAATTGGTCATTAGGAAAAATAGAGTAGAAAAGCTATAAGATGTCGTCCTTCATGTGTTCTACAAGAAACCACACAAAGATCCTTCTTCGGATCTCACAAAGGACATTCACAAACCCTAGAATGATATAAATTAGAAAAATACTATGGTTCGGACATGAGCACTGCAGTATTAGTTTTATGATTAAGCATAAAGTGCGTGATCATTCCACCACATGAAGTAAGGGGTGTTTGTTTGCATGCAAGTGAAAAATGCAACTAATAAGTGACTTGCTTTTAATATTTTATGTGTTCGTTTGCATGCAAACTATTTTGAAAGTGAAATGTAAAAAAGTTATCACATAGGATCTAATGCAAATTTGACTTCTGTAAAAAATCCGTAAAGTCATATGAAACTGATAAAAAAGAAAATCAATCTAAACTAAATGATTTTAACTACATTTACTGATTAATTAATCCTATTTTCCACATCAACTTCACCTTCCACTCTCAACAGTAATTTTGTTTTTCAAACAAACATTATATTTCACTTACATGCTAACATGGATGTGAAAGTCATCTACAAAAAGAAAAGTAACTAACACATATTTTCAATTCATTTTCAAATTGCCAAACACCCCCTAACCTAGGAAATCTCACATGGACATTTTCTCAAACACTTTTAGAACTACACGAGACCCAAACCACCATTCGATCGCTGCCAAATCCAATTCTTACCAAAACCCAGACACCAAATCAACAAAAAAGTTTCCAACTTTACTGTCAAACCCCAACTCCAACCAAAACCCAGATCCATAATCCCTATAATGATTCAAATGAAGAAGAAAGAGTGAGATTTTACCCCAAAAGGAAGAGGCGGCGAAGCTCAAAACGATGGCGGAGACGCCGCAAAGAGTTTTCGAAGCAGCTGAAACGGAGAAGGCGGCGGATTTAATTTAGCATTGAGGTTTTTTTCTTTTTTTTAATTATTTTTTTAGGAGGGAGGATGAATGGAGCGTCTTTTTGGATCTGAGATTTCTGCGGGGAAAGTGAAAAACCGGACTACTGTTTTTAGCAACGGAGACGGAATGCTGTGCTCACGTCAAGTAAAGGTTGCCTCAACAAATACAGAAGTACTAATGAGTACAATATACTAGGGTACGATGAGTATTAGATCTAGAATATATCACAGTTACGTACTAGATAATTAATGGTTAAGACTAAAAGTTTTATCAAATGTTACATTCTCCCTCCTCTCTCTCTCTGAATGAGAATATGAAGGCATTTGGCTAATTTAGGATTAGTTTTACTCTCGTCTAGTTTTTTGCAAGGTCATCTTTCACATCATCTATACACAACAGCCAACTTAACCATTTAATAATCTTGAAATTACATCACATGAGGTCACGTGTTGTCCACTCACTCAAACCTTCTACGGCACCAAAAAATAGGCCTTTAACATACATTTGGTCAACTTTTAATACCATAAAGTTGCTGGAGAATCTATTAATACCAAAATAGCTAAGAGCTTCTCCAAGCGTCCGTCAATTCTCCATTTTGAAGCCGCGTCAAGGTCCAACGGAACTGTATATTTTGCAGTCAGCTGCATATTCGGACCCGGAGAGCTTCGCCAAGCGTCCGCCAATTCTCCATTTTGAAGCCGCGTCAAGGTCCAACGGAACTGCATATTTTGCAGTCAGCTGCATATTCGGACCCTGAGGCTGCAAATTTGGAGATTTCTCTCCAAATTTGCAGCCAACTCTATACCACTATTCCCCAAAAAAAATACCAAAGTTAACCCTCAAACCCTTTAACAACATGTCATTATTCCAATTGTATCCCGTTATTATTTTTTATAGTTACTTAAAATCTGTATATATATATTAATATATTAAATATTTTTTAATGAAAATAATATCATTGGAAATGTCTCGTCGATACCTTCAAAATGAGACTAATATCGAAATATAAAATTGCAAAACAAGTAATTAGAAATGATAATACATTGGAGCTTAAACTGAAATAAAACACATTAACTTAGAAATACATCGAAACTTTAATAAAAAAAGTTACATCACTTCATTGCCGTGTCTCTCCCACAAATGTTCAATTAATACATTTCGAAGTGTGAAGTGTGCTTCTTTGTCTTTGAATTTCTTATGTCGGGTCAGGAATTGTCGAAACCGTTCAGCATCGTTCGTCCCTATGTCTTCAACATTTGAAATTGATGGTGGAGTAGAAACGATAATATCTTCTTGCTCATCACGTTCATCCTCAATAATCATGTTGTGCATTATTATGCAAGTGGTCATGATATCATGCAAAGTTCGTTTATCCCAAAACCGTGCAGGGCCCTTGATTATAGCAAATCTTGATTGGAGAACATCAAACGCTCGCTCCACATCTTTTCGACAAGCTTCTTGCATCATTGCAAAATATTGTTTCTTTTTATCTTCGGATTTGGAAATGGTTTGAACAAGGGTTGGCCATTTCGGGTATATGCCATCGGCTAAATAATAACCGACATCATAATTCTTTCCTTGAATTGTATAATGAGCAGGAGGAGTAATACCTTGCGTTAGGTTGTCAAACAAATTAGATGCTTGTAATACATTAATATCGTTATTAGAACCTGGCAAGCCAAAGAATGCATGCCATATCCATAGGTCATACGATGCTACTGCCTCAAGAATAATGGTTGGGCCTCCGTGACGTCCTGAGTATTGTCCCGCCCATGCTGTTGGACAGTTTTTCCATTCCCAATGCATACAGTCAAGACTTCCCAACATTCCTGGGAAACCTCGCTCTTCGCCTTTTTGTAACAGTCTTGCAACATCGTCGGTATTGGGGGATCTAAGATATTCATCTCCATACACTTCTACAACTGCTCTAGAAAATCTCTTCAAACATTCAAGTACAGTTGACTCACCAATCCTTATATATTCGTCAGTACTATCTGCCGATGCACCATATGCCAACATGCGAAGTGCTACTGTTACTTTTTGTAAAGTAGACAGTCCAAGCCAGATGACACCATCCACCTTTTGTACGAAATAGTTGTTGTTCTCTCATACAACGTCGACGATACGAAGGAGAAGACTCCTTTGCATTCGGAATCTTCTATGGAATAAATGTGCACCGTATGTGGGATTATCAGAAAAATAGTCATTGTAGAGTCGAGAATTACCTTCTTCCCTCCCACGGTTGATTACCAAATGACCAGGAACTGAGCTGATACGCTTTGGCCTCTCTTCCTCTTTAGAGAAATAAGCCATTATTTTATTGTTAGCGACATATAGACGAGCTAAGATTTCATCCTCCTCCTCCCATTGTTTCATATCCTCCTCCCATTGTTCAACGTAATGAGAAAATGTTTCGTCATCAGAAGAAGAAGAAGAAGAAGATGGTAGGTGTGATGGTCCAGCTCCATAGTTCATTGTTGAAGAGGGGATTTGGAGAAATGAATTATAGATTGGTGATGAGTTGTTAATAGGTGTATGTTGTGTTATTATATAATGTTTCTACCCACATTGGATTCTTCCACCCGCATCGGTTTCTACCCACATTGGATTCTCCCACCCGCATCGGTTTCTACCCACATTGGATTCTCCCACCCGCATCGGTTTCTACCCACATTGGATTCTCCCACCCGCATCGGTTTCTACCCACATTGGATTCTCCCACCCGCATCGGTTTCTACCCACATTGGATTCTCCCACCCGCATCGGTTTCTACCCACATTGGATTCTCCCACCCGCATCGGTTTCTACCCACATTGGATTCTCCCACCCGCATCGGTTTCTACCCACATTGGATTCTCCCACCCGCATCGGTTTCTACCCACATTGGATTCTCCCACCCGCATCGGTTTCTACCCACATTGGATTCTCCCACCCGCATCGGTTTCTACCCACATTGGATTCTCCCACCCGCATCGGTTTCTACCCACATTGGATTCTCCCACCCGCATCGGTTTCTACCCACATTGGATTCTCCCACCCGCATCGGTTTCTACCCACATTGGATTCTCCCACCCGCATCGGTTTCTACCCACATTGGATTCTCCCACCCGCATCGGTTTCTACCCACATTGGATTCTCCCACCCGCATCGGTTTCTACCCACATTGGATTCTCCCACCCGCATCGGTTTCTACCCACATTGGATTCTCCCACCCGCATCGGTTTCTACCCACATTGGATTCTCCCACCCGCATCGGTTTCTACCCACATTGGATTCTCCCACCCGCATCGGTTTCTACCCACATTGGATTCTCCCACCCGCATCGGTTTCTACCCACATTGGATTCTCCCACCCGCATCGGTTTCTACCCACATTGGATTCTCCCACCCGCATCGGTTTCTACCCACATTGGATTCTCCCACCCGCATCGGTTTCTACCCACATTGGATTCTCCCACCCGCATCGGTTTCTACCCACATTGGATTCTCCCACCCGCATCGGTTTCTACCCACATTGGATTCTCCCACCCGCATCGGTTTCTACCCACATTGGATTCTCCCACCCGCATCGGTTTCTACCCACATTGGATTCTCCCACCCGCATCGGTTTCTACCCACATTGGATTCTCCCACCCGCATCGGTTTCTACCCACATTGGATTCTCCCACCCGCATCGGTTTCTACCCACATTGGATTCTCCCACCCGCATCGGTTTCTACCCACATTGGATTCTCCCACCCGCATCGGTTTCTACCCACATTGGATTCTCCCACCCGCATCGGTTTCTACCCACATTGGATTCTCCCACCCGCATCGGTTTCTACCCACATTGGATTCTCCCACCCGCATCGGTTTCTACCCACATTGGATTCTCCCACCCGCATCGGTTTCTACCCACATTGGATTCTCCCACCCGCATCGGTTTCTACCCACATTGGATTCTCCCACCCGCATCGGTTTCTACCCACATTGGATTCTCCCACCCGCATCGGTTTCTACCCACATTGGATTCTCCCACCCGCATCGGTTTCTACCCACATTGGATTCTCCCACCCGCATCGGTTTCTACCCACATTGGATTCTCCCACCCGCATCGGTTTCTACCCACATTGGATTCTCCCACCCGCATCGGTTTCTACCCACATTGGATTCTCCCACCCGCATCGGTTTCTACCCACATTGGATTCTCCCACCCGCATCGGTTTCTACCCACATTGGATTCTCCCACCCGCATCGGTTTCTACCCACATTGGATTCTCCCACCCGCATCGGTTTCTACCCACATTGGATTCTCCCACCCGCATCGGTTTCTACCCACATTGGATTCTCCCACCCGCATCGGTTTCTACCCACATTGGATTCTCCCACCCGCATCGGTTTCTACCCACATTGGATTCTCCCACCCGCATCGGTTTCTACCCACATTGGATTCTCCCACCCGCATCGGTTTCTACCCACATTGGATTCTCCCACCCGCATCGGTTTCTACCCACATTGGATTCTCCCACCCGCATCGGTTTCTACCCACATTGGATTCTCCCACCCGCATCGGTTTCTACCCACATTGGATTCTCCCACCCGCATCGGTTTCTACCCACATTGGATTCTCCCACCCGCATCGGTTTCTACCCACATTGGATTCTCCCACCCGCATCGGTTTCTACCCACATTGGATTCTCCCACCCGCATCGGTTTCTACCCACATTGGATTCTCCCACCCGCATCGGTTTCTACCCACATTGGATTCTCCCACCCGCATCGGTTTCTACCCACATTGGATTCTCCCACCCGCATCGGTTTCTACCCACATTGGATTCTCCCACCCGCATCGGTTTCTACCCACATTGGATTCTCCCACCCGCATCGGTTTCTACCCACATTGGATTCTCCCACCCGCATCGGTTTCTACCCACATTGGATTCTCCCACCCGCATCGGTTTCTACCCACATTGGATTCTCCCACCCGCATCGGTTTCTACCCACATTGGATTCTCCCACCCGCATCGGTTTCTACCCACATTGGATTCTCCCACCCGCATCGGTTTCTACCCACATTGGATTCTCCCACCCGCATCGGTTTCTACCCACATTGGATTCTCCCACCCGCATCGGTTTCTACCCACATTGGATTCTCCCACCCGCATCGGTTTCTACCCACATTGGATTCTCCCACCCGCATCGGTTTCTACCCACATTGGATTCTCCCACCCGCATCGGTTTCTACCCACATTGGATTCTCCCACCCGCATCGGTTTCTACCCACATTGGATTCTCCCACCCGCATCGGTTTCTACCCACATTGGATTCTCCCACCCGCATCGGTTTCTACCCACATTGGATTCTCCCACCCGCATCGGTTTCTACCCACATTGGATTCTCCCACCCGCATCGGTTTCTACCCACATTGGATTCTCCCACCCGCTCCGTATCCACCTCCTCTATAGTCAGGTATTCCGTATTGACTTCCTGCGTAACTGTATTCAGGATTAGGAATATCAGATGAGGAACCCCTAGTTATATTTCTATTTAAAATCTGTTGTTGTTTATTTCGAAAATATTCGCGTTTTGTTGGCTCGATAATAGCTTCCAGATCAACTAGCATAATTTCTTTCTCTTGTCGTTCTTGCTGAAGTTCTAACTTTTTCTTATCATTTTCAGCCTTTAACATCATAGCCTGGTTCATTGTCAATCTTTCATTTTCTCGTTGTTCTTTACCTTTTTTTAAAACTTCTAAGATTTCTTGATTTCCTTTAGCAAAATCCTCAAAGTCAATGTTCCTTTCAATTTCTTTCCGTCTTCTCAACTTCTCTTTCTTCCTTCCAATTGGTCGACTAGTTGAAATGCTCATTGGCGAATGGTCGTCGTCATTAGTGGTATATGCCTGATTGTCCTCATTTAAGTCAATGACAGGAGAGCTTGAACCAGATCCTTGAGACAAGTGAGACTTTGAAATTTTGGAAGATGCAGAAGGCATGACGCTTATATTTGCCCACTTCTCTGCATCCTTCAAAATCGGCCAAACATGATCAAATAGAAATCCTCTTTTCTCTTCTGGATCTTCTGCAAATATGATCCTAGCACGTTTATTCTACCACAAAAGAAGAAATAATTATTAGAAAAGGTGGAAAATAATTTAATAACCAAGAAACATGTAATTCATATACTTACAATATCAAGTTGACTTGTCGAATGCATCCTCAAAATTTACTGATGGCTTTCATAATTAATTGCATTCGGCATGAGAGAGACTTCGGGCTCCTATGTCCGGTGTAAACGTTTGAAATCCTTTCGTGAAATAGAGCTGAAATTCGCTCCCATAGCTTGTCTTTCTTTTGATTAGAACCTAAAACTGGATCCTGAGATATTTCAAGCCATGTAGCGCATAAAATTTGATCTTCTTCTTGTAAGAATGATTTTCCGCGACTGGATGCCATAAGAGAAGGACGAAGAGTTGTTGAGAAGAACTATGGAGGAGGAATGAGAAGAGTTGTGATGAAGGAATGAGGGTTGTGCTAGTATTTATAGTGAAAAAATTATGGAGAATTCAATGCTAGTGGGATAAAGGAATGTGGGTAGAAAACCGATGTGGGTAGGAGAATCCAATGTGGGTAGAAACCGATGCGGGTGGGGAGAACCAATGTGGGTAGAAACCGATGCGGGTGGGAGGAACCAATGTGGGTAGAAACCGATGCGGGTGGGAGAATCCAATGTGGGTAGAAACC